CCTAGAAATTGATAAATTTGGGTAGGATATGATCGTTGGTGTTGGCTCGATACTTTTTGATCGGGCCGAAATTTGTGTGGCTCTATTTGAGCTTAACCATCCTATAGTAATGGAGAATATACTTAAGGAAAAAAGCGTATCGGACTTAATGTGCTGAGCCTAGGAAACAGAATCGTGGACTAGGTGAAAATTTGAGACTTTTACATGTATACTTAGAATTAGTTGATTTTATTATATAGTAATGTAGTATGTTGTACGTTGGTATGTTGGATTAATGTAAAAGTTGCATATGGTGAAGATGCATATGTATGATGAGTTTGAGGCTGTTTATGATTGTTCAAAAGGGTGATCGTTGGTATAACTCTTGAGCTCGGGATGACTATTATAGTATGTTACAGGAAGCATAACAGTGTAAATAAAGGGGTCAATATCTCGGAATAATTCTAATTCTACAGTGACAACATTTTTGCTTTTGAGCTCGAAATCGCTATGACAGAATGTTTACAGGAAGCAGAAAGGGGTCATGGGCTCAGAATAATTCAAACTTCTTATTCGGTTATAATGAACTTTCAATTAAAATATTCGTTCCATTTTTATGATTGCAACGGTAAATTTTTCAACAGTTGAAATTATCTTGAAATAAAGTTTCCAAGGGATTCGAGCGAAAATTTCTAAAGAAAAATTCATTCCAACGACATGGGGTAGTATTAAACCGTGCCACGAGCGGCATGATACTAATTGACGCTCATATCATTGTACAAGGCTATTACAATTGGCCGGACTTTCTTGTTATTTAGCGGCATTGTGACCGTTACTTGGATCTTTTTCTTCACGTTGTTGCCGAAGGCGAGAGGGAGGACATGGAAGGCTTGTTTGGCACTTTCTTTAAATGGATGATGACTTTGAAAGAGTTGCAAAAGATAGAAGCAGAAGCTGTTAAAGATGATAGAGCTGAAATAATGGGCTGAAAGTTGAGTGGAACAGTAGTACATTGAACATATTATGCTTATTGGGCAATGCATGAGCTACACCTGCTTGTAGGATATTGGGTCGAGCCCGGGTAAGTACCGAGCCCATTAACACATTTTCTCCGGTCATAATTCTATAAGAATTTTCGTTGAATTTTGATGATTTCAACGTATATTTTTCAATGGTTAAAATACGGATATAAAATTTTCAACGTAAATTACATATTTACAACAAAAATTCCAAAGTTAATAAACTGTTGAAAAAAATGATTGTTATATCATAGAATTCCAACTAAAATTCTCATGCAAAACTCATTTAAACGAAATATTTTCGATGTGATTTTCGTTGGAATAACTCAAACGAAAAATAAGCAATTGAAACATCCGCTTAAATTTTCATTGAAATATATTACTATTGAAATTTTCAATTAGATATGACCA